GGCGCTGCCGCGGTTCCGGCGCCGCCCGCGCGGGCCGCGCCCGAGCGCCGCGAAGTTGGCGCGCGGATCGCACCCGCGCCCCGGACCCCGCGGACGGACCCGCGCCCTCCGGACCCCGCGGACGGACCCGCGCCCCGGCGAAGTGGGCTCGGCGCCCGGGAGGACGCGGGAGAGGACGCGCGCTCCAGGCGCCGGCCGGGGACTGTCGCCGCTCCGTCCGCCGTCGGCCGGGCGCCCCCCCCCCCCCGGGGGCGCGCTGTCCTGTGCGGGAGCCGCGCCCGGCGGCCAGGGACGCCTTCCCTGCGCTGGGAAGCCGGGGTGCGGAGCGGGCAGCGCCATCCGCGGGGCCCGACCGCCTCCGTGCGTTCGCTCTCAGCAGCGCAGAGAAGACACTGGCCGCGGGAGGAGCAAGGGCGAACTCGGCGCAAGCTGCGTCGGCAGCCGGAGCGACCTGCACAACCGAGCCACGTTGGCCGTGTTTCCACAGACCTTCATCAGACCCGTGGGGACGCCCCCCACGGCCGTGACGGCCCCTGGTGGCCGGCACACGAGGGGTCCAGGCGAGGGAGCCGGAGGCCACGTGTTCTCCGCTCCGTCCCCTGGCGGTAAGGGGTCTGGAGCCGGTGGGGGGGTGGGGCTGTAACAGTTCTGGAAGAACACAAAAATACTTAGGGACAAACCAGTCTTTTCCAGAAATTCCAAGGTCTTGAGACAAAAGCCCTGTCTCCATCAGAGTTCCTCTTCATAGAACTGATCGCTCTTGTTAATCCATTGCATTTTATTCGACAGCAAAGTTCCAGGTGCCAAGGGGAGTGGACACAAGATGAATCAGAGAAACCTGTCCACAATCGCATTTCTCTGCAGTGTTTGTAGCATGTTGCAATTTATCTCTGCAGTCAAAAACCCAGGAATCGTGTGTGCCAGTCCTCTACCAGAAGCTAGATTCTCCATCAATTTTTTAACTAAAAAATTTCCTTCTCTCCATATTGGTCCACAACCGTTTCTCTTTTCGAGATTCATGTATTCATTCATGCTACAGCAACAGCACAAATAATGACAATGTGCTGAGTGTCTGTCACGTCTCCATACGTGAGGCAGAGAAACAGCCACTGGTGCATGGAGCTTGGGGTCCAGGGACGGGGTCACTTTTTAAAATCGCACAGGAACATCATTACAAGTTACAACTGCTTCTCAGAAGGACAGATGAGGGGTGTGGTGGGAAAGGTAAAGAGGGCAGCTCATGCAGCGTGGGGTGTCAGGGAAGAACTCTGAGGAGGCCACAGTCAGGTTCAGAGTTACTTTGCCCCAGGTTCACCCGCAAGCAGATCCTGAGACATGGACTTGGGTGCAGGTAGTTTATCTGGGAGGCCGGTCGTCCAGGAAGCTGGAAAGAGCACGTCAGGGGGGAGGGGAAGGGTACAGCATACGGTATCTTGCCGGCCATCCCTGGAGACGTCAGGGGCTCCGTCTGGCTGGGGTCCCCGAGGGAGCTCTCTGGAATGACCTCAGAACTGCTTGACCACGGCTTGGAGGACTGGACATGTGTTCCTCTGATTTCCGTCCCCCAGACCGACAGTTGCTTCCCCGCTGACCCAGGGCAGGTTCCTCTGGCCAGGCAACCCCTATACCTTCTAGAAAGCCCGAGCTGCAGGTTTGGGCCGCCAGCAGGTGAATGCAGGGGCTGTGCCACGGAAATCAGTCCAGAGGCAGGAGCCCGGGAGCGGGGCGGGGACGGAGGGGAGGGAAAGGCGGATAGACGGCCCGCCCTCGGTGCTCTGTCCAGCCAGAGGGGGACGAAGTGAGCAGGGGACAGAGTGCTGTGGAAGCGGGAGGAGGACGAGTCCGGGGACTGGAAAACCTCTTCGGGCCCCTGAATTGTACCCTGTATCCCTGCTCACATTCGAGCGGAGAAGGAAGCTGTTCTCCACGGACCGTCACGGCATCTGTGGATGAAACAGTCTTATCTCTGCCTTCCCAATCCGTAAAGCTTTTATTTCCTTGTCTCCCTGCACAAGCCAGGACTCCGGGGCCATGTGGGAGAGTGTTGATGGGACACTTTTTTTTTAATGTTTTTTTTTTTGTAATTTATTTCTGAGAGAGAGAGAGAGAGAGAGAGACAGCGTGAGCAGGGGAGGGTCAGAGAGAGAGGGAGACACAGAATCTGAAACAGGCTCCAGGCTCTGAACTGTCAGCACAGAGCCTGGCGCGGGGCTCGAACCCATGAACCGTGAGATCATGACCTGAGCCAAAGTCGGACGCTCAAACGACTGAGCCACCCAGGTGCCCCTGGATGGGACACTTTTAACTGTAGGGATAACGTGACCTTAGCCACAGGGTTTCCGTGGATGCTCTTTACCAAGTTGAAGAAGTCCCCCTCAGTTGCTTGTCTGATGAGAGTTTAAATCATGAACGAATGTTGGATTTTGTCAAATGTCCTTTCTGCATCTATTGACACGATCATGCAGTTCTGTACTTAAGTATGTAAAAGTGTTGGATTATTTTCACAGGTTGTGAATGGCAGTGAGATTTTTAAAGACATTTTTACTGCAATGAGAAGAAGAGATAGAAGGGGCCGGGAGTGAGGAAGCACACGTGGAGTTGGGGAGCGCGGTCTAAAATACCTGGGGGGGATTCCAGTGAGAGCCGGGGAAGACGTGAAGGCAGGGAGAACACCCTTAGGTGGTTTTCCTGGGCAGGCTGTGGGGGGAGACGGAGAGGAGCTTCTGTGATCCCAGCTCGGGCTCTGCACGGGGGCCGATGGCACTTCAGGGAGAGCACCAGGTGGCACGTGCGCACTGGTCAGCCTGCGCGGGAACCGGTGACGTGGGCTTCTGTCGTAAGAACAGGTACAGTGAGGGTGGCGGTAGAAGACACGCTGCACGTGATGCCGTGGAGGCTGACATTGTCCTCAATTCTTTCAAGTCTGGGTGTGAGAGACATTAGACAGGGCAGGAGCAAACTCTGGTTTCTGGGAAGATTTTGTTGTAAAGCCACCACATCCAGAGTGGGCTTGAACTCCGGGGGGGGGGGGTTATTGCCGAAGAGAAGGACAATTTCAAGATGGAGCCTCAGCGAGGACGTGATTCCAGCACACATCCCCTCCTCCTGTACCAACATGTTTTACTTTATTTCTTAGAGCAGTTTCAGGGTTACATCAAAATTGAGGGGAAGGTGCAGAGACTTCACACATGCTGCCTCCCCCCACACACCCCCACTGTCCACATCCCCACCCGGTGGTGCCTCTGTCACAACAATGAGCCCACGTTGAGCATCACCACCCAGAGTCACGGTGAGCCCCATCGGGGTTCACTCTGGTGCTGGACACTGTGTGGGTTTGGACAAGACTCACCAGTCTCCTGAACTCGAAAGTCCTATTCAGCCCTTTAACTGATGCCTACATTTCCGTGTCTAGTGGGCGTCTCGAACCTCACGTGTCCCACCCCGCATGCCGCCACCCAAGGATGCTCCTCGTGGACACTCCCCATCTCCTCAGTATGGCCCCAGCCTTGCAGTTTCCCGAGCAAAACCGTGGAGCTGTGTCACTCTCCTCTTCAGAGCCCACACGGCATGAAAATCTCGTTTGCTCTGTCGTCAAATAGATCAGAAATCCGAGGACTTCTCCCCACTGGCCCGGATGCTGCCACCCTGACTCTGGCCACCAAGTCCCCTCTAACGGCAATGGGCTTGCAGTGGCCTCCCTCTTCCTCAAGGCCCCTCTGGGAGACGTATGTCAGGGAAGTTCACGCCTCTGCTCTGGCGGGCCGATGGTTTTCCTCCCTCGCTGAGAACGCAAAGTGGCAAATCCCCTCTGGGCCTTGCCCCACCACTGAGGCCTTTTCCCTGCCTGATGGCATCAGTCCCTGTGCCCCCCGCCCCCAGCCGTACTGCAGACATGGTCCTCCCAGGAGTCTCCGGGACATTTGCCTCCCTTCTGCTGATGACTTTGCCCAGATACCACCCGGCCCTCCTCCCTCTGCTCCCAGCCCCCCGCGCCCCACACTCATGTCTATGTGACGTGTGACATGCTGTGTGTCTCACTTCATCCTTTCCGGTCGGCCGTCATCAGGCCGTTCATGACCTGTCCGCAGCATCCTGAACAGTGTCCTGCATGGACAGACAACGGGGAATGTATTTTCCAAGAGGTAAATTCAAGAAGAGGAGAACGCAATCAATCCAGGCCCCAGAGAGGGTGCAGTGGGGTTGGACGGGGCCCCCAGGGGAGACACTCACCTGGGGGAAGTGGGCCGGTGGGGGAGGGGAACCAGGCAGGGTGGGGGTCTTCCCCAAGGCAGTCGGGGGCTCTCTTCTCCCCCTTGGCCTTCACAGCCCTAGTTCTGGGGTAACTAGGGACACCTCCGTGCTGGGTGGGCAATAAGCGACGCCTGCACGGCTCCCTCCCCTGCAGCACCGTCACCCCTGCTGTGGGGCCACAGAACCCCAGGCGACACCCTGGGTGGTCACCGAGCCACAGCACCAAGGGGCCCCTCCCGCTGAGGCTCCTCTCCCCTTGACCCCTCCTGCGGACCACCTTCCGTGACCCTTCCCGCTAAGTCCCTATGACCACGTCCCTCTGAACTCCTTCCCGTGACCCCTCCTCACAGCCCCTCCCCCTGAACCCCTACTCATAATTCCTCCCTAAACTTACTGCGTTGTATTTCAATTACATTTAGATAAAACCGGGAAAAATTAAAACCTTCCCTCTTTTCATTTGAATATTGATGATTAAATGGTAATGAGAAGAGGATATAGTTTAATAGGCTTCACACGAGACTGGAGCTGCCAGCATCTCCTGACTTTCTCCTACGGCGCCAAACCCGCAGCCCCGCAGGTACTCAGGCACTTTCCTCTGAGCATGCTCGAAGCACCGGCGCCCTCGGTCACGCCCACAGCTCCGCAAGAGCCAACCCGCAGCCGGGACGCGGCTGATTGGCATCCAGCAGGAAAGACCCTGGGTCCCGATTGGGCACGTCAGTTGCTGTGGGCGGGCAGAGAGGCCGGAATCCGGAAGCGTCGCCGCGCTGCTCTGGCCTGGAAGCCGGTGGTTTGGGGGTAAAGCGGGAGTCGCGGGGTCGCGATGGCAGCGCTCAGGCGGCACGGTATGTTGGGGAGCTGTCTGGGGGCGCGGACGGGGGCGCAGGTGGGTACTGGGGAGGGGGACACGGCCCTCCCAGATCCCGCTGTCGGACCCACACCCGGGACACCCCGGCCACCCCCGCCGGGACCCCAGAGCCCTGTCCACCTCCCTCCCAGACCCGCGGCCCGTCCCTGCCTGGACCCCAGAGCCCTGTCCACCTCCCTCCCAGAACCCGGCCCGTCCCTGCCTGGACCCCAGAGCCCTGTCCACCTCCCTCCCAGACCCCCGGCCC